AGAGCCATGAGCAAAAATTGCAAAGTTGCTATAATATACCTTTATTTCCCACCGTCCTTTTTCTTGTTCCACCCCTTACTGGCGCTCATACTGACAGTCATCCCATCTAACTCAAACACATAGAGAGCTGGTTTTCCAAAGTGCACACCCTTATTGAACTTGACCTCTTCAGTTTACTCCGTGGAATCAGGGGTCGTGAAACTAATACAAAGCTAATCCATGCTGTTACCAGAATAACCCCTTCTGATAACAACATAACAACATTTGGTGTCATAGCAGTGTTTGTGGCCCATTCATAACCCAGATCATGAGAAATTTGTATTATTAATACCCCTTTTCACCCTGAAATTACTTATGTGAAACTTACTGGTAATTACCCTATCCCTTCTGTAAAATCCAGGAAGCTTGCTTTATAAAATGGAAGACATTATTAAGCAACAAGATTTTGTAATTCTTATTTTTTTAGAAGTTTGGGTAGATATGTGAGTGTGGAGAGGAAGCTTTTAATTTTCAAAAGGTCTACTATTTAAGCAGTGTCACACAGAAGAAGCTTCAGGCTTAAGTTGGAAACACCTTCTCTCTAATTACTTAACTCCAATGACTAAAACTAAAACTCTTTATTGATTAATTAAATGTAAATTTTCAGTGTTGAGATAAATAAGAGAGAACTGTGTCTACTGAAGAAAAAGCCAGAAGAAATAGAAGAAATATAGACATCCTCAGACTCAGGTTTGAATCAGCTGTGATGTGCCTAAGAGCTACAAATACACACACACGCGCGCACACACACACACGCACACACACACACACACACACACACACACACACACACATACATATACACACACCTTTTGGTGTGTGTACTTAATGGCTCCCAGTATTTATTTAGTGAATATCATATATATGGTCTTGTACAGTGAAAGACCTCACCTTTATATATTACAAGTCATTTTTCATTTTAAAAATTATCTAGAATATAGTGGGAAGAAAAGTCAAACTCTTATTTGTGGATTTCAAGCTCCCAGTGACATGAAAAGTCTTCATGGAATCTGTTGGGTATCTCTTGCCTTATCTGAGTTCTGAAAAAATAAGGCATTACAGGAGCATACAGATTCATGATAATCATGGTGGCTGCTACCCCAAGATGCTTTCAGAGAAACTTTCTTGCTCACAACCCCGCTGAAGGGACAGGGATAGCCCTAGGCAGACCAGTGGCTTCACTTTCCAGATTGAACTTGGTTGATTCACACTTGGACCTTGATCTATGGGTAGCCAGTGATCCTAGTACATGACCTGACAATCATGACAAACGTGTAGTTCAGATTTATTCTAGAAAATTTTGAATTGAGAGAAATATAGCAAATCACATATAGTAACAAGAATCAAAATATAACAGACAGCTAGAGAGAAGTTCTGAGGTACACTCAAGGCCCAAAATAAGTTGTATTAATGATGAAGTAAGAATTATGTATAAGCAGAAACACTGTTGAGAGAAATATGATAGGGAAAAGGTCAGAGAACATAGAGGTCAGATAGGCAGAGACTGACTCACAATATTGGATGACCACTAGAGAAGGTTCCAAAAATCGTGGCTGTTGAGTTCTATAGAGTTGCCTTTGACTCAGCTAGTTTCAGCTTCTATTTTTGGATTTCCATGACAGGGTTTCTTTGTTATCATTCCATGTGATGTGTCTCGTTGCATTAGATGGCCAAAATGTAAATCAGTTCCTTTCAACAAAAGAGCCTAAATAAAAGGGTGAGTTATAACTTAAATGTTTTGTAATGCAAAAGTATGTCAGTTAAATGCCTTTAAAATATTTTGCAAAGAAAGACTTTATATTGACATGAATATATTTTTTAGGTTCCAATTAGGAGTATTAATACGCTGTTAAGTGGTGGACCACAAACTCTGGTTCATAAACAAGTTGTATCAGAATTGCCTGTGGAGATTTATGATATAGATTCTTGGGTTCCATCCCTAGAACCTCTTCATTATGTCTAGGATAAATTTGGGAATCCACAATTTAGAAATATTTTCTAGGTGATTTTAACCCACAATTATAATATATTTAGGAAAAAATAATTCAAAATTTAGATTTAGAAGGTGAGATTAAGGTCTAGATAAGTAACCCATTCTTATGTTTCTCCAAGTTTAGATTTTTTCATCTTTAATATAGATAATAATATTATCTGCTATGGTTGTGAAGATCAGGAAGAATAATATACACAGAAAAGTAAGCAATTCTGGAATAAAAAATTAATTACTTGATTATTGTAGTTCCTTAAAGCATTGATGCCTCTTTACACAGACTTGATAATATTAGAGAGGTTCCCATGCCAACAGGACTAGTCCAATGATTCCCATTCTAAAATCTTTCAAGGCATCAGGACCAACTTGGTTACTCATGTATAAATAGTAATAATAATTTAAACATTCCCTTTTTCTCTAATAGTAGACTTTTATTTTATTTTTTGTTTGTTTTGTTTTGTTTTGTTTGGGTGAATTCCTTTTTTTCTCCAGTAATACAAACATTATTTTCAACTCTAGTTCTCTTTGTTAATGGAGAAACAAGTTAATAATAAAGGAATGATTAAGAACAAAGTACATCTATGAAATGAAATATTATGAAACCATGAAAAATGCAAAATTTCTCACATGCAATTTAAATGAAAAGGTAGTATAAAGTATATACAGAGAATGACCCCCATAACATTATAAATTACACACACATATATACTACTTACATATGCATATACAGTTCCTTAAATCCTGAAAAAATGTATATGAAAATTTTACCTGTGATTACATCAGGCTCGCTTCTTATACTTGTGTATTTTCCCATTTTTCTACATTAGCTATGTATTATTTTATAATTTAAAAACCAATTATCAAAATTATTTTTTTGAATTAAAAAAATAAATGAATATAGTAGAGGATATAAGTGGCCCAGTGATAATCAGGCCTCAGTGTGGAAATGTCTGCCATGACTATCTCTGTAATGCAGGCACTAGTGTGAGTGAGACTTTCAGCTCTGCCCTGAATATCAAGAGTCGTGGGACGATGTAAAAGCTTATCGGTCTGTTCTATAATCTAAGAAGTAAGTTCCAGTTATACAATTATCCAGAACTCAGGATGTAAAATAGTGAATACCAGGTTTTCCCAGAAAAGAGTTTTGATCTATAACAAGTGAGACTGGCATAGTAATTTCTCTACCACATGAGTCAAGTGATACTAAAATGTAAACTGGGGCCCCTATGTTTAGATTGCTTCAGACTATCAGTACACCAAATATGAAATGAAATAGGAAATAAATAATTTGACCAATAATTCAGAGACTTGTGAACTATTTCTTAATTGACTTTCTAGGGCTATCCAGAGAAAAGGTCACAGGATGTCATAGGTTGAACGTATTTCTTGTCATGACTTTCAGAATCTAAAGTTGCTATAAAGAATATTGTAGGTTAGCTACATTTTAATGAAAAAATTTTTAAAGAAAAATAAACCAAATAAAAAAATAACATCAACAATATAGTCAGTAAAAATTTACTTTAAATGACCACACACACACAGGATAATGGAAAAACAAACAAACAGAGAGGGTACTAGCTTTAGAGGCAGAAGAAGCAGGTTTGAGTTTCAATCATACCACTGAGTGAAGGCATATGAATGACCTCTTCAAACCTGACTTTTTCAAGTGTGAAATTGAGATAACTGCACTGCCTACTTTACAAAGTGTTCTGAGAATGAAATAAACACTTGTGTGCAAAAATATTTTGTAAATAAAAAATAAAAAATTCACATATACATGTGCACACACACATTAAAAAAAGTTTTTTTTTTAAATCCTGGCAACCTCTAACCCACTTTAATTATAACTTATTTACAATTAAAATAACTAGACATCTTTTTATTTGTTTGTTTAAGAGCCAGTAAGAATTTCACAGATTCAAACATACCCTGAACTGTAAGATAGTGAAAAAATTTTTTTCTTCCTCAAAGCAAGACTATTCAAGATCCTTAAAGAGCAGAATCCATTCAAATTCAGCAACAGATGTCAAAGTTTTCCGTGAGATCTTTATGTCATTCGCTGCTGCCACACTCTAGACAAGATTTCCAGTTGGAGGGAATCCAGACACCAGCGAAGGGGTTAAGACACCAGTTAAATGTTTTCCTGCTAGAACCATACATAGAATGAAAGCCAATGTCAATGCCACCTGTGGCCTTCCCCTGCCTGTTTTGTCATCCTCCCACTCATCTTCTACACATCACGGCTATTATCCACAAGCAACAAGGTTTATCAGCAACCTCCCTCAATTCTCTTTGGGCATGACTTTAATATTGCAGGGGGCTGAAAAATATTTTCTTTCATCTTGTGAAAAATGGAGAGACTAGATTATGTGTGTATATGCATATATATAGCTCTATTTGCACCTTACCATTTACAATCTTAACCAGTAACAAATCAAAAGCAATAAGACATTAATTACCCTGTCTATCTGAGTATGTTGTCTTGATATACCCTTTTGACATATAATTTGCATTTTAACAATAATTAAACTAATCACACCCTTTGAAAAATAGTTATGCGTAACCAAATTATTATATTGTTCCAAGACTTAGACTAAATCAATCTGATTTCCTCATCTAAATCAGAAAATTCTCAACGACCTGGGAAGACACAACAGAACTATTGTACATTGGTCAGCCAAATGAGGCCTTAGTATTTTATTCAGATTTCTAACACAATTGGCACTCCAATGCAAATACTAGTTATAAATGTGAGACTATCATAACATTTTTACATACACAAGCCCTGGAGAAAGAGATATCCTACCCACCCAACATCAAAATTGGTGTTTCACATGCCTTGGGGGTGGGAGATGGGCAGGAAATTTCCAGAGAGAGTAAGAGCACACAAAATGCATATAAAGTGAACAAAACAAAAGTCCATTGACACCATGTGAAGAAAATACGAAATATTTGACATTAGTCCTCCTTTTCATTGATTCTTTCTGAGGCAGAGAAGTCTCCTGAATGGCTTTTGTAATTTAGAATTACTCAAGATGATTACCACTGAATGGCCAGAAGGATATATTCCCATTATATCCTTTACCACAAAGTAGCGCTGACTTTTGTAAGGAATCGTGAATGCCGCGTTTGCCATGAAGGCGGCAAAATAAGAAAGAAAGAAGAAAAGGAACGATACCACTGTCCTTAAGGCGTTTAGATGGACTTCCATGTTGGCATTTCTAAAACCACGTCCCTTTTGCATTCGATGAGTGTGTTTGTAGAGAGAAATGAGTATCATAAAAGTGCACATCACGAATACAGCTAGAGGAAATATGAGTGCCAAGTTGACAAAAAGCACTTCATTAATTGGCTTCATTTTGAGTGTAGTCATTCTGAGCGTGGCATTCCTGAGGGCATCGTGGTCTGTTTTAGGGAAATCTACTTCGATACTCACAGCTGCAAGGCTCAGGGAGGCCAGCAGGCTTCCCAGAAGCAGCCAAGGCATTAACTTTGAGATCCTGAATTTCAGCCAAAGAAAATAGGACTGGGTGAAGCCTGAAATCTTGAGGCAATAAAATATAGAAAGGCAGGTGGCAAACCAGAGACTGGTAGAGCTAAAAAATATCCAAATGAATATTATCACTGCACCATAAATGTTTTCCTTATAATAGAGTGGAAAGAACACAGTAAAAACAATTTGTACCATTAACAGCATCTGCAGACCAAACCTAGACATCCCTATACATGTTAAAAGGAGTTGCACTGGTGTTAGCTTTCTGCTTTGGATAAATTCAATACAATTGATGATTATAAGAAATCCATTTACTGTAATCCCTGTAATAAATTCTGCTGAAATGATGATAAAATGAGGAAGATCTGATAAAGAGGTCATGTTTCCTACCACGAATCTGAGCTTTTCCTTGTGGGTGGTGTTGAATACCTCCTCCAGATGGTCTTGCAGATAGGAACATATAACTGAGAAATATGACCTTCTGCCAACTCCCGGATCAAAAGTACAGTCTTGCACTAGGCTTTCCTCCTAAGGAAGAAAATCAGAGGGACTACTTTTCAAATCTGATGTTCTTCAAATCAAATTGAGGTAATGCAAATCTAAAGATTTGAATGGTGGTTAGGTCTCCTAATTACATCCTAGGAAAAAAAATGGCATATTGGCATTATTCAGTTTACACTCTTACTCAATTTTGCTGAAAATATGATTATAAATATGTTTTATTTCAGTTATTACTATTTCCTTTTTGTCTTTTTTTTCTTCCTAATGGTTTGTATTTTTATTTTTTTCCCTAATGGCAAATGCCACATCCTTGGAACAGACAGCTATTTCCTATTGTTGCCCCATGCATTGAACCTCAGATGTGGCCCTTTATCAGCACACTTTTTTCCTAATAATAATTCCAATATACTTTAATAAATTTTTCCCTTCCTACTGCCCACTCTTCCAAAGCCCCACCAAAGGGAATTTCTTCTCTTGACTTGAAAATCATTTCCTGAGAACTCACATTGTATAAGAATCCTTCATTCCCCTAAGTGACCTCTTAGATCTTCAAAGCCTTCTTGGTAGAATTCTGACCCAATAGTTAGCAAACCACAGTAATAAAAGCAGTGCATAATTAATCCACATGTTGACATCATCTAATACTCATGCTGAAAGGCATCATTTCTAAAGGGTAAACAAAATTCTAACCACCAGCAGAGGGCATAATGACCTATGTGTTAAAATGAACTTTTATTACAGAGAAATGTTCACATAGCCTTGTGGAAATTTAGTTACATCACCGATAAAATGTAAATAAATCATTACTACTTTATAGATAAGATATGGTGCTCAAAGTACTTAGCTAAGTGGCTAGGTAATGCTAAGCACTCAACAAATATTAACTACTGCTAATACTATCAAATGTCTGTCTTCATAATGTGTTTACCCCAGCATGAAAATAATGATTCTACTAAGAAATATTTTCAACAGATTGTTGAAATATTTTTCAATAAGAAATAAGGTTGTAGGAGTCTTGAAAATAGAAACAGCCAAGACCTAGGTTTGCCACCCACTGTCCACACCAATCATGGTTTTCAAAGCCTCCCAAAGTCATCCATAGAATGCATTTCCACTAGCCCATGAAAGCCAATGTCAGTGCTCCCTGTGTGGCCTTCCCATGCCTGCATCATCACCCTCCCACTCATCTTCTATACAAGATTTATCCCATCTGATTTCTTCTAAACTACTGGTTTTATGACCCACACTGGCATATATATATCTCGAATGATGGCATATAAAGGAATTGATTACTAAATTTTAAAATACTGTAGACCACTACAGAATCTGGTTCTTGAAATAAAAGTTCAATTAATCATAGTGTTTTATTTTCCAAAAATTACGTTTTAATTAATATTTTGTCATGATTTTGTTTCTCTGAATGAGCTTCTTGAATTAAAGATTCTGGACCAAATGATGGACAAAAATTTGGCATATACATAACCAGCCAGATTATATTTACATGACAATTTATTAACTGTGTAATGTTAGACTAAAAATCTTGGAGGGTATACTGACAACTGGGTTTTTTTTTTTAATTATGATAGATGTTCATTGCTTTTTGCCTATACTGTTGCAAAGGATATGACAGCATGTCCAAAATATATCCTATTCTAGTGCAGCAATATGGATCTTTTTATATTTCAAATATCTTCACCATGATAACCAATATTTGGGGAGACAACAATCATATTATCTTCTTCATTCCCCATTATTCCTTTGCTATGGTCCTTTCTTTCAATTTTCCATAGTAAACTAGGATAATAAAAGATGGGCCAATATATGGAAACTCTTGATAGCCAAAAAAATCAACAAATTTCTTATAATCAAGATTAATTTCTCTGAAAATTATATTTTATAGAAAGCCCATATTTTTATGAAATTGCAGGTTTATAACAGCTACCTCAGAATGTGCATATGCTATGGATACATAAAACCTTAAAAAATATGAAATCATACAAGGTATTTTATAAGCAGTTATTTTGAATCTCATTTCTTAGATGAAAACATAATTTATAAACTGGAATCTATCCTCATGGAGTGTCCAAGTACTTTAAATTCTTTTGTTGTGTTGGTTTCAAACAACCTTGTATTTGTCACACGCATACAGGTGCAGCTGGTAGCATGGTCTATGGGTTATATGATTTTGCTATGAGATTTGAATTTATTAAGGATTGATTTCATTCTGAAATCCTGGATCCCAGCTCTCATTTGCATCCCTAAACACATCAGTTAACAGAAGAGAAAGCTTGAATTTTCCAAGAACTATTCTGAAGGTGTAATTGACATTCAGCTGTAATTTACCTGGTTTGTATTTGCATTTGTGATTTTCCTGTCATACATGGACTGTTTTGCATTTGCCCTTATTGCATCCCATTTTGGAAAGAGAATTTTAGTGAAGGGCTCTGTCTCAGATCTGGGGAAAGTTAATGGAGAATGAGACAGTCTTGAAGTTAATAATGCATAGGCTTATTTAGAGATATGGAAAACACAGTGGCCAAATGGAGAGATAGCTTCAAATTAAACACTCTCTGAGAGATTTACTAAAAAATTAATTTATTTTTAAAAGGAAGTAATATCTACCAAGAGACATTCGATATTTATAATTCATTAAGCAAATTTCAGTTTACTCAACTTCCAATCAATATATGTTCTTCTAAATGTTCACGTGAACCTTGAAAACTGGGGTACCTCCAGTGGAGTTTTTTGTTTGTTTGTTTTGTTTTTATTTTGAACAATGTGGTTAGAGCCACCTGATTCTAAGATGATGTTCATAAATTGCTCTTAAAATTAGGATGAACTTTAAATATTGGTATTATGACCAGATGTTTTCCATGTACAGAGATCAGTTTATGCAGTTGTCACTGGTTCTAACAGTACAAATGTCTGAATTTTTAAAAGAAATACATTAAATAGCTACTATTTTCCAGTGCTTCGGTGCTTTATAAGTCTCTAAGGAGGCTGAAGCTTGTTGTCATTGTTTCAGTTGAAAATCTTTTAGTTTGCAATTTTTCCACCCCCATTGCTTTGGTATTGAAGTTTTGCTGAGGACTGGCTCGAAAGCAAATAAATCTGTTATTGGTCTAAATTAATCCATCAGATTGGCCTATTTCTGTGAAAAAAAAACCCTCAAAATATTTTTTGGCCTTCTGTCAAGAACTAACTCAAAATTTCACTTACAGTCTGTCTTGTTGTCATTAGATGGTCCGAGGAAGTGAAAGGAGGAGTCTACGAGGTTTTAAAAAATCCTTCATTCACAACATTGGCAGTATTTGGGCCACTGTCTTCTTGCTGAAACCAAACTCCAGTCCCTGGAGAAACAATGTTTTAAAGTCCATGCAATATGTGTTTATGTCTTTTTATGTTCAATGTAGTTTTTCTTTTATGTTGGGTTGATTTCAGTATTTTAATAGATTGTCTATATGGGTTTGAGACTGAAGAGCATTTTTAAAATTTAGTTTCTGAGTTCCCTCCCCAAGTTTCTATATTATTATAAGCATTAGGTGAGGAAAGGAGAATTCAAACAGAGTATCAGACTCATAACCCTAGAGGCCAAAATTGTCTCCACATGTGTTACATTGCATTCATGAGTTAGTCTCTGAAAAAAAAAAAGTAGACATTAAATTAAATAATAGAAATTAAGGAAATTTGTTAATTACATTCATATTTGACAATAATACATCAGTTGATTTTGCATAATATTAACAAACATTTTATTGTAGGCATTGTTTTACATATTTATTATTATTTAATACCTACTGAAAAAAATATGGAATTATCTCATTTGATGGACAAAATAAAGTTCAAAGACTGAAGCTTCAGGATAATGTAAAAAAAGATTTTAATACAATATACCTTTGTCTGGAGCCCAATACACTATGATATATTCAGATTGGAATCTTTTGATTCACCAAAATTGCTAGAAAGCACACGAAAAACCAACTGGAGTATCACATTTTTTTTTTTAAGATTTTTTATTGTGGAATTGTGGGGATGGGAACAGCGCTGGGGAATTGGGGGAAGGGGAACAGACAAGTTTCTGTCGTTTTGTTCTGCAGTCTAGTTGTGGAGGATGTTGCATCACTGGCTCAAGTTGGCACCATCATTGCGCTCTTCCTGGGCGAGGCTGCTCACGGTGGCTGCTGGACGCTCACGCTGGCTGCTGGCTACACACGGTAGCCCATGGCAAACCATTGCAGCAGGGGCTGCAGCCTACGCCGTCGCCGGCGACTCATGGCAGCCCAGCTCCAGGTTGAGCTGTTGTTCAGCATCTTAGCTATGGAGGGTAGTGTCACTGGCCCTCATATGTGGGATCTGAACCAGGGCCCTCTGGCATCCCAAACCAGTTCTTAACCATCGTGCCACTCGGCCGGCCCGAGAATCACATTTTAATAGCTGTAATCTTTCCTTTTCTGTAGACATGAATAGGAAAAAGTTAAATATAATCCACTTGTTTAGGAGCATTGGTAGAGTGATGAAGTCATGGAGACCCTGTACTATTAGCATATCTGACTGGATCTGGAAGCCATGGACTTAGGTAGCAAACAACAAATAAAACCTAGGAGTAAGCATTCAATATATACTGCTACTGAATTTGCTGTGGAAAGTGAGGCAAGTCAGTTCATTGGAAAGTTATAGAACTTCTAGGGGTCATTAAAACCTTATTGGTAGAAGAAAGGAATTCTATTCCGCCTCAACCATCCCCATTGTATAGAGAAAGACATTCTGGAATCCAAAAGAGGTCCCATGTGTAATGGTTAGCACTCTTGACTTTGGAATCTAAAAGATTAAGTGAATTCCTCAAGGTTTAAAGAATAAAAACTAGCAGAAATGTGCAGGTC